TAAAATTTTTAGATATTATAAAAACTTTATCTAACTTTACAAGAGACTATCCTTCTCTTTGTCAAGTTTGGATGGGCAGCAAGTTATTCATTGGAGTATACAAACCAGATGAAGCAAAAGTAAAAAAAAGATCATTTACTCTAATATATAAATGTTTCTACTACATATAATTTAGAAATAGTTTAAATTATTTATTTTATGCAAATTATATTATATCCAAATAACATGTTGGCTTATATATATACGTTTTATATAAAATATTTCGTAAAAAATAAAATGTGAGTATGCCCAAAAAGGTTCACGTTACATAGTTACTTAATAAAAACATGTATTAGTTATAAAACAAATAACACGTAACGGATTGTTCCAATTATAATCATTACGTGATCTTTAAAATTACGTAATTTGAAAAGTCACATGTAATGATATGTTCTTTATTCTTCTATTTGTTTTTCAATTTTCATTCAATTTTTTAAAATTTAATAATTATATAAAATCACATAATGGACAGTACTACTAATATATCATATGATTTTTCAAATTACGTGATTTAAAAAAATAATAAATCAAAACAATTTCTGTAATTTACTTATTTTAATTATACGTGTAATTTCATCATTTAACTTTGTGACGTAATTTTTTCAATAGGAATGTAACTTTATATATAGAAATAAATTCAAGAACAAAGAAATAATACAAAAAGTCCCATATATTATTCTGTCTAACTTTATTTTCAAATTATAAATGTTTTTGTGTATCATACAAAAAATGTGCTAACATCTTCACACATTTTCATACGCGATTTCATGTTTTTAACTTTTTTAAAGACAATAATATGTGAAAAAGCAACATTAACACAGTTTATAACTAGAATTAATGAAATACAAAAATATCTGTAATAAGATTAATAAAACAAAAATTCGTTATGAACTTTTTACGATATTCCTGAATTTATTTTTAAAGTTATGTCCACATGTTATAAAACGTTGCATCTCTGCATATATATTATTTCTAAACGTTTCTAATGTTTTATAATATTATATTTTTGTAATATTATATTTACTTTATTGTTTAGGAAACGTATACAAAATCGCTTATAAAAATATATAGTCAACATGTGTCTTACTAAGGATGTATATATATCTACATGTATAATCTTAATATTACATTTTATATCAATTAATCACAAATTAGTTTTAGAATTGTTGAAATAATCATGTTAGTTACTTGAATGAAAGAAAAGTGCGCGCGCGTGCCATCACAAATATGCAATAAAAATGAATAATTTATAACATTGCAGACTGTCTTACACAGCAGAAATTGTATAGATAAAGGTATAGCCTATGAATTTGTTCTACCAGCATTTGGTGCGGGAATACTGTCTGCGTCTGGTAAGATATACATATATACATATACGAAAGGGTAAAATATTCAACTTTTTACTTTTTACAACTCTTTAATTATTAATAAATCTTTAATTATTTTATTTCTTTGTTAGTCTCTCATTTAAAAAGCAATTGAAAGGAGTATGTATATTTTAGACGATTTGAAGCACGCAGGAATCGTTAGATACATCGATCTCTTTTTTCTCTTCCTCAATTTTACATTACTAAATTAAATAATTATGATTAAAATTGTTCTAGTATTTGAGAAATATTTTTTTTCTTATCTTGAACAGGAGAAAACAACGGTTGATTCTTTCATCACTTGGTGAAACATATACATATATCTATAAATTTCTTTTTTTAATATAAAATACGTGTATTAAAATAAATTATTAAAAGTCATGACTTTTATTTGCACTGTACTGGATAGTTCATTTAGGCTTAATTGCACCAACGTGATTTCGATTTTAAGCGAAACTTAAACTGTCTCTGTCTCTCTTTCAGTTTTAATAAGAGATAGATAGAGTTTTAAGTCTCGCTTAAAATCAAGTAATGTTGGTTACAACCGGGCCTTAATCAATACAATCAATTTTCTTCGAAATGAAAAAGTGTTTTAAATGAAAGTGTTAAATTACTTCGAGGAGAACGTATTTTGACCATGCTACTTTTTTTCTAAATAGCGAAGCGCCAAAAAAATATGAAGGTTATCTCCATATTGATTGTGTCAGTTGAAATAGTAGACTATTCTGTATAGTGCAAATAAGAGTCATGACTTTAATAATAATTTCTTTTAATAAACAAACCATTTGCATATAAAAACAACGAAAAATTCACGGATATAGTTTAACAAAGTGATAAAGTTAACTGTTGCTTTTCTCATATTCAAAATGTGAAAAAAATATTTTTCTAATACTAAGTCAATTTTTACAATGCTTTTTGTATTCAGTAAGTAAAATTGAATAAGAAAAAAAATAAACGCAACAATTCTTGCTTACTTCCCAAATTGCATAAACTCCAAAATTATTTTATTTTATTAAAAAAACTAATATGTAATAAATGTTTCAGCTATAATATTACATTCGTCTTCAGTGTAAAATGAACTAATAAATTAATGATATAAGCAAACATAATTGCAGAAAGTAAAACACAGTTGTTCCTAATAAGTAAAAGTGCAAAAGAAAATGGTTACACATTTGAAAAACCATCCACATAGTAATCCGTAATGGAAAAACCGGATTGTAAAGAAGAATGATTATTATTAGAAAACCGGCTTACTTACAATCCGGTTGTCTCATTGCGGATTACTACGCGGATGGATTTTTCACAGATGTAACCGATATTTTTTGTTGCACATTTACTTGCGAAAGGCTTTTACTTTCTAATAGGTATAATTTATGGTTGCTTATATCATTAATTTATATATTGATTAATTAATTTTACACTAACATAATATGATTTTATAATTGAAACGTTTGTAACATTTTTATTGTCTTAATGTTTATATTATGTGTTAATATAAGTATATACATGTAGGTCCTTATAATCTAGCTATTACTTTTGTTTAATAAATTTTAATTTCACCGATCCTTAATATATTTATACTTATTATTTTTATTATCAATATTTACTTTCATATCAGAGATTTTATTTTTATATTCATTATATTTCCTAATTATATTTAATGATATTAAGTTTTAAAACGCCATAAATTTCTTGGAATATTTCTTCATTATTGTTTTCTTCTCTCTTTATTATAGTTATATTTTTACGTTTTATTGTTATAATTTTTTCAGCACCCGTATGGACTCGAATAAGAACAATGACTGCACCAACATTTAGTTCACTCATGTTGCAAAATTTTTTTACTACATTTGTTGAACTATCTGAAGCACTTACATGTGAATTAGAAAAAGTTGGATTAAGTAAAAATGAAATTATTCATGTCGAACATATATCAAATTGTACTTGGAGAATTGCCTGTGGTAATAAGACTATATAATTTGATACAAATTACGTATTACAAAAATATTATATTTTACATGTAACAAATACAAATTTAAATTTCTTTAACTTTTTTTATTTTATAAGTTTTCTTTGATGAACTAAAATAATATAACACACACAGTTTTATCTATGCTATTAATCTGAAGATAAAAGTACATAAATTTTTAGTACAAAAAAATCCAAAAGTTTCGTATAAAATTATCTTTTATGATATTTTAATAATAAAATTTTAAAGATATGTTATTAATTTTTTATATATATTATTTTATATATATATTATATATATATAATGTATTTATTTATATATATATATTATATGTATAATTATTTTTTTTACATATTTAAAATAGATCATTATTTTTACGTATTTGATAACGAAATACTATTTTATTTACGAAATTATATATCATTTATTATATTACATGTATTGTATAGACTTATAAATAATATAAAACTCAATGTTGCATCGATTGTACGTTAATATCTGATTAATAAATTTTTTTTATATATTATTACGTAAAGACTGCATGATGGGCATCAAGTTGGAACCAAATAAAAACAATCAATGTTCAACAGCAATTCAAAGGTACTTAAAATTTTTTCTAATTCTAAATATTTGTAATCAATGTAAATTATATTAACATTAATAGATTTATATATAAATCTATTTGAATAAGAACGCGAGCGTAGCATAGCAGATTTATGCTCTCCTCTCGGAAAAGACTAGTAACCTTCCGAGAATATTCTTGCCTTCAGAAACACCTCTTGAAAAATCCGTTCAGAACCGGCATTTAAAACTGTAGGTCCCATATGCTTGCGTGGCAAATGAATAATCAGCGTGCGCACCACAAGCATATGAGAGAGGTGTAAGTAACACAGATCAGAGGGCAAATGTAAGAAATCCATTTAAATAAAGGAAAATGGTTAAAATTATCTGATTTGTGAACGAAACGAGAACATCTTTCTTATACATGTTTTTTTTGTATTCTTTGATGTGCTGAATCATTTGCGAAAGTTTATTTCAAACTGATCTGATGGGACATGTTGAAAATCGCATTAAAAGTAGCAGCACAATTTCGTTGAAATCTGATCTTTGATTAGAATTTTCAATACTTTCTCATCAGTTTAGCTTGAAATTATCATTTTTAATAATTTCAGCATATCAAGAAAATACAAGAAAAAATGCATAAGAAAAACTCCATCATTTAGGTCAAAATTCGGTAATTTTACCTATCTTGAACAGGCCATAGTAAGCAGTATTCAATCTATTGCTTGTTCTACAATAGGATCGTAAGTCATAAGTCGTAAAAAATTGGCCAATCATAGTTGAATATGAAAAGAATAATCGATATTGATTGATTAATTTTTTATGGCTACGGCTTACGATCCTATTGTAGAATAGGCTAATATTTTTTGTATTTCCTTGATGCTTATGTTTTACTTTTTTCAACTCTTTGTGTGTGTGTGTGTGTGTGTGTGTGTGTGTGTGTGTGTATGATCCTAATAGTTGCAATTGATTATATATATATAAATACGCTTTTATAATTATATCTTATACACATGTATAAAAATTTAGATTTAAAAATAAAAAAATATTTCAGGTTGAAAAAAATTATTTCCTATAGAGTAAAGAATATACATATATATTATTTTGATATTATATTCAATCTCACTTCTTTGGGACGCGAACAGAAAAAGCATTTAAATTTATTACATTCTGTGGTTGATGAGGTAAATGATAAATATATGTTTGATACTGATATTCTGTATTACCTATTTCATTATAATCGTTCATTATAATCTATTATACATTATTATCTATTCAATTATAATCTATTATACAGATGATACAGCAACGCATAGATGAATCAAATAATAATGTGAATACAACCGAAAATGAGAAAAACCGACCTTGTAAGTTTATTAATATTTTTGTATAAAATTTTATCTTTATGAAAATGCAACGTGGTAGCAGAATTGTTATAGTAGGAATAGTTTTCAATAATTTTCTATGATAATATAGGTCAACACAAATATAAGTCTGTCTCTATTATTCATTAAATAAAAAAAATGAAATTTTTCTTGACTTACATTACTAAATTAAACGTAATCATTACAGTACCTACTACGTTCTTTTTACTTTTGGAAAACAATTTCCACTTATACTTTTATTTTTAAGTTTTATATAAAGGGCATAAAGTTAAAATTTAAATTAAAATTTGCCAGTACAATATTGAATAAATAATTAATCCTTTAATTCATAATTTACTTTGTTATATTAATATAGATAGAACGTTTTTCGACATTCAAATGGATGCATGTCGTAAACAAAATATCATGCAACAAGAGATTCACGATAACGTAATGACAATGTTATTAACGGTATGTATAATGGTATAAACACAATTATAATTTATATAAATATGTATTCAAATAAAATTATTATGTATGCAGGCCAGTGACTCAATCTCTGTTACGATGAACTTTGCTATCTTTATGTTAGCAAATTTTCCAAATATACAAGTATGTATATGTGTATATATACGTATATATATTATATATAGTTCAAGATAATTAAATTTACTAGTTAAATAATTGAGGTGTAAACAATATAATATAAAATATTCGAATATCTAGCTTTAATTTGCTAAGCAAAAATAAAAAGAAGATAGATTAATAAAGAGCATATATATATATGATTAAAGATTACAATTCAAAATAATTTATTAATTCTTAAATATAAATTAATAGGAACGTTTCGACTTAACTAAGTCTTTATTAGCCACGAAAAAAAATTAAATTGAAAAAAAAAACAATAAGAAATTATTTAAAACAAGCCCACATGACAAGCTGGACAAATTATCTATTAGGTTAAAATAAATTATTACAAGGTGTGACATTCTTCAAGTCAAAGATATAATAAATATTATTTCTTCGCGAAAAGAATATATAATATAATTCAATATATCATATAATATAGAATAAAGCAATACTTTTTATTATTTGGATTAAAAATTTTAATAGAATTATATACAAATATTTGAATTGACACTATATATCATTACCAACGCTTCAATTATAACTAAAATAAAATCAAATTTAAATCACAATTGATAAAAAGAAACATTATTTGACTGTATATATATTTTATATGTATATAAATATATAATACTTTATTTAACGTCATAAAAGGAAAAAGTATATCAAGAACTGTTGGAAATTTATGGCACGGAAACTACAAAATCTGCTCCAATTAAATACGATGATTTGCAACATATGCATTATTTGGACCGAGTTATCAAGGAGACAATGAGACTTTTCCCTCCTGCCCCTTTAATTATACGACGAGTAACGAAAGATTTAGAAATAGGTTTGTTTGCTCTTTATAAACAAATACAGGCATGCGTAAACACTAAAATTTAAAGATATTAAAATATTGTATCAGTTTCCACTATAATTTTCAAATTAATCATTCTTCATATTAATGTTACTTATTATTACCGAAGCTTTCATTAAGAAATTTCATTTTAAATTTCGCGGCATTTTGTTATTTCCAACGTTTTCAAAAACTTATTGTTTTTTTTTTATTAAGTTAAAATGAAACCTCTTAATGGAAGACCCTGTACTTTATTTTTGTTTCAGTAATTTTTTTAATAAAAAATTTACGTTCTAGGGGAGGCCGTTGTACCGAAAGGTGCAGATATTATTATAGGAATTATAAAAATGCAACGGGACGAAAAATATTGGTCAAATCCGTTAATGTTCGATCCTGATAGATTTCTCCCAGAAAGAATAAAGGATTGCCAATTAAGTTATTTCCCTTTTAGTGACGGACTAAGAAATTGTATAGGTAGGCATGAATGAGTTATAAAGTATTGTAAGTATTATAATTAATTTGTATAATTAATAAATTTCAGGTATGAAGTATGCAATTATATGTTTGAAAGTTCTACTAGCGACGTTGGTACGAACATTCATATTTAACGTAGACAAAAGCATTGAAATACATCAAATTAAACTGGAAATTGATCTGTTATTGTCTACTAAAAAGCCTTTAAAAGTAAAAATTGAAAAACGATGCTTCCAATAAAACACTATGAAGATATATTAAACATAAATAAGTGAAAAAATTTCATGTTGGCATCTTAAAATTCAAGAGATCTAAATTTCAATCTTGGTTGAGATAATATTTTTGACAATAAATTATTTACAGTATTTTATAAAGATACTTATTAGCATTTGTAATATTAAATTGTTTGTCAATTTATTAAATTGGAATATTTATTAATGTCCTTTTTAACTTCAGTTTAAAGCTGCGTGACAAGCAAGAAAATTATATATATACAAAAATATTAAGAATACAAACTATGATCCATCTTGACAATTAATATTGCTTTCTTCATTGTTTTTATCAAATTCATACATTTTTCGAATTGTTTTCACTTGAAAGACATGTTAAATGTAAGAAATTTTTGTAGAATATTCTTCATACATCATGTTGATGATTAGTTTTGATTTATTATCTTTAGTTTATAACTTTACAACACATAGAATGTAATGATAAAATGTAAAATATAAAATAAAATGTAAATTGAACTAAATATTTGTGATTTTTTAATATTTTTATTATAATCCTTGATAACCCAGTATTGTGCCTATATAATATTTTCGCTAAGATTTAATGCCTTTGTATTAAAAAGTCATAAACATTTTTGAATTTATGACAAGTATTGTGTACTTTTTATATATAAGATCTAATATTTTATATTTTATAAAATTTTTATGATACATGTAAAAATATTATTTCTAACAATTTTTATATACTTAACATTATATTTATTATTACGTTTTTTGTTCTTATCATGTATTAAATTATTTTTTAGTTTAATTTTTTTTATAGTTGCTCTTATTTTCTACACATAAATCTTTATATTTGTTTTGTCATTTTCGTTTTTTTTTACATATTAAATGACATTAATAGCTATATATCTATTCAATTTTCATTTGAATAGCTATCTATTCAAATTTTTTAAATTATTATTTACTGCATGTATACATTAGCATAACATATAAAAGGCGATAGCGTAGTGAATTGTGGACAGTTCTTTTGTTGTTAAAACGAAAATTATATTTAGAACTATTTTCTCAGTTATAAATGCGAATATTAAAATAGAAAGAATTATATTAGGTATTCATATTTGAATGATGTTCTCCTTCACTTTTCTTAAGTGAGTTATAAATCACCAGCGATAAAATAACGTATAAGTTACAAGGTGCAAAGTTTCGAACAAACTTTTATCTCGTTTTCTCTATTGCTATAGTGATGTCATTATTATTTTATTGCTTTTTTATACATATTTTTTTATACATAAATTTTTTGAACATGTATTTTTTATACATCTGGTTAGATAGATACAGATTACAGATAACAAAGAATACCATTTTGTTTGAATTTTATAATACTTAATAATTTTACAAAATTGATTTATTACAATATTGTTTTCTTTTTTTTTAAATAGAGACATTATATATGATAATCGATTGATGTTTGCAGAACAATGGAATTTTACGAAATATTATGCGGTATCGCCACCATAATTTTTGCTTTTTATTATTTCTTTAAGTCAACTTTTAACTTTTGGAAATCACGTGGCGTTCCTGGTCCACGACCTATACCGGGATTCGGTAATATTAGCAATATTATATTTATGAAGATACCCAGTGATTTTATAATACAAGTATATAATGACTACAAAGATGATCCATTGATTGGGATATTCGCCAGAAGAACACCCATTCTTATTGTAAAAAATCTAGATTTAATTAAGGACATTCTTATCAAAAATTTCTCCAATTTCGCTGATAGAGGACTTTCCTGTCACGAAAAAGTAAGAATAATAATTTTGAAAAACACAGTGGTTTTAGTGCAAAATAATAATATTTAAATTAAGCACAAATTCTCTACTTTCATTAAAACGAATTCTTTGTTTTAAAAACAAAAATTCTCCTTTTAAAGAGGAGAATTTATTTTTAAAGTAGAAAATTTGGGATTTCGAAACGACTTCATTCGAAGCGAGGTCCAATTCATCTTCCCCCTGCCTAAGGGTGTTCGATTTTTCACGCGAAGTGAGGTCTACTCACATGAGAAATTGTTATGTCCCTAAGCAGGGAGTAATATTGGAACTTATTTTATGAATAACTTTTTGATATAAGTAACGACCGACGGTTAAAACTTTTGCAAGATCATGATCTTGACAATATACGTCAAGGTCAAGATCATTGAAGGAAGCTCCCATCTTAAATTTTCTTCTACCTTTTTTTTATCATTATATTGCAGATCGATCCATTGTCGCAAAATCTTTTCTTTTTGGAACCAAAGAGATGGCGATCGTTAAGAATGAAACTGTCACCTGTCTTTACATCCGCTAAACTAAAAGGGATGTTCTCCTATATATCAGAGTGTGCCGATCACTTTGTCCAATATTTGGAAGAAGTAGCGAGCATAGGCGAACCGGTAGACTGCCGCGAATTAACGGCCAAATATACGACGGACGTTATTGGTAACTGCGTCTTCGGTATCGAGATGAATGCATTGTCAAACAATGGCAGCAAATTTCACAGAATGGGAAAGGAAACGTTCAATCCGTCTGTGATGAATATGTTACGATACAGAATCAGAGAATCTTTTCCGCAACTTTACAATATATTTGGTTGTATCTTACCACAAACGAAAATCAGCAAATTCTTCTTACGTGTTATTATGGAGAATATGAATCACAGAGAAGTGAATAATATTACTAGAAACGATTTCGTCGACATATTGCGTGAATTAAAAAAGCATCCAAATAAATTGAGCGATATTGGTATATATTTTTATATATTTTTTGGTATATATTTTAAATATTGCTTTTTGTTGCTATAGCAAAATTGTCTAAGTATCTAAATATTTTCTAAAGGATAAATATTTTATCTAAAATATTTCAAACTAAATACTGATGAGAACGTGCCGGTCAAGCTGGATCTTGGATCCTTCTAATATCATATAATTTATTAAATGCTTAAATAATCCGATCGAAAAATAGATTATATATATATTCATAATATAGAAAAAATATAATATTTTAGATTTGACAGATAGTTTAATAGCTTCTCAAGCATTCGTATTTTTTGTTGCTGGCTATGAAACTTCTTCATCGGCTATTAGTAACGCACTCTACGAGTTAGCATTAAATGAGAAAATACAAGACAGTTTACGTAAAGAAATTGATGAAATTTATGCAAAACATGATGGAGATTTGACATATGAAAATATTAAAAAAATGAATTATTTAGATAAAGTTTTTAAAGGTATGTAGTTAAAAAGGAAAATTAAATAAGAAGTAACTTATTGTTTTTCTTTATAATTTGTAATTTGATCTCATCGTTAATAAACTTTAATTATTGTAGTTCTTTACTGTACGCAAAAGTGCATTTTCGTAAATTAAATTTTCATTTAACTATATAATTTAAATGTCACTTTTCATTTATTTCCACGATAAAAAATATTTTTAGTAATTAACTATTCTAAATGTATACAGAAACGTTACGAAAATATTCGCCACTGACATGTCTTATGAGACGATCAACATCGAGTTATACCTTTGATAGTATCGGAGTTAGTATACCAAAAGACCAAAAGATATGGATTCCTATTTATGCGATTCATAGAGATCCGAAATTTTATCCAAAGCCAGATGTCTTCGATCCAGAAAGGTTTAGTGATAAAGCTGTACAAAGCAGGCATCCAATGTCTTATTTACCTTTCGGTGATGGACCAAGAAATTGCATTGGTAAAATGAAAATTTAGATGTTATAAATTAAATTTTCATTTAACTATATAATTCAAATATCATTTTTTATTTCTTTCCACGATAAAAAATAATTTTAGTAAACAAATGATCGTAATCATTTAATGTAGTCAAAACTCTATGCAATTTTTTATATTTTCTATTTTATATTTTCAGGTACTCAGTTTGCTGTTTATCAGAGTAAAATTGGGCTTATAAAAATACTACGAAACTATAAAATCGAAATTTGCGAGAAAACTCCAATATCTTACATAAATGATCCTAAGGCATTTTTATTAGCACCAAAAGACGGATTGCACTTAAAAATTATTAAAATTGATAGAACTTAACTTAAACTCTTTTCTAACTGTCTACAGAAAGCATATATAATAAAGAGAAAATTTGTCAATGATAAGATTATAATAACTGTGCTAATTTTCCCTAATTTTTGGAAATTAATTGTATATACCTTTATAAGGTTCATCTCCAGTCCTCACTGGAATCGGTTGTGCCGATCGGATTTTGTTTCTTTATAAATAATGGAAATAAAAATTAGAGTACACCGATGATGTAAAATATAAAATGTCGTAAAATATTATTCAATTTATAATATTTCGAATAGATTACTCAATATTATTTTAAATTAGAATTCTTGGTATACATTAAAAATTAATATAACTATTTTAAAATATAAACTTTAATTTTTACACACACACACATTCGCGCGCGCACACACACGGGCGCGCGCACATACACAGAGTGTCCCAGAACTATTAATTAATATTTCAGGGAGTAAAAGAGGATAAAATTATGAATTAAAAGTTCTTGTGTCACTTTTGGCTCAAACCATTATTTAAAAAGGTTTTATTTATTTAAAAAAAAATCGAGTTATTAACGATTAAAGTTAATCAATCAGATTGCACGCAGCCAGAGTATGGAGGAGCGTAACATGTCATAAAACCATTCGACCTTGCTATGCATTATCTCGTACGGTACAAATTTTATTCGAACTTCTCATATAAATAAATAAATACATACTTAAAAATTAATAAAATAAAAATAAAATAAAATGGAAAAATAGAATAAAATAAAGTAAAATCTATCTAAAATTAAATTAAATTATATTAAATATCTTATCTTAAATATCGTGTTTTTTTATGTTTGTGCAAAATGAATAACGTTAAAGTTATCTATTTACCCATTATATTAAATGTAATAATTTTGTATGCAGCTAGGATAGTGTAAAGCAATTTTTTTTAATTTTAATTAGGACGTTAAATTTTAAATTTATTATAAGAACTTATTTCTTGTTAAAATAAAATAAGATTTTATTATTATATTAAATTTATTATTATATAGTATATACAAATAAGTTTCGTTGATAAAATGGCTTGAATTGAGCCGAAACGTTCGTTAAATCAGTCTAAGATTTAAAAAATGACCACGTAGAAACAAGTATACTCTCATTTGCTCGTTATTACCTTGCAAATGAAAACAAAACTTATCTAATCAGCAAATTGAGTGTAACAACTTTTCACATAAGCACCGAATATTATCAAGTTTTTAAAATTTTTAATTAGCTATGTATGTATTTATGCTATATGTATATTAACATAAAATACAAAAACCGATAGTATAGTACATTTTTAACGTAGTACATTGTTTCCGTTGCTAAAATAACAATGATATTTATAACTGTTTCCTCGGATAAAAGTTTATAATTACTTGATGTAATCACACAGAGATACAAAACATACTAGGATTATACTTATGTATTGATTATATTTGATATTCAGACATTTTCTCACTTTTCTTACACAAATTAAATTTTTGAAGCGCGCACTAAAAATGATGTGAGTTACAAGAAATAAAGTTCAAACAAACATAAATTTTTTTTTATTTTATTTCCTCTATTATTTGTGATAATTTAGATCTTCAGAGTGTTCGAAATTTACGCATTTAAATTTTTTATGTATTTAAAACATTTGATGTAACATTATCTTTACAAAAGCTTAGTTATTCTTTTTTTTTCAATAAAGATTGTTCATTGTGATAATCAATCGATGATTAGAGAATAATGGAAATTTTTGAAATTCTATGCGGCATTGCCATCGTAATTTGTGTTCTTTATCATTTTTTCACGTCGACCTTTTACTTTTGGAAATCATGTGGCATTCGTGGTCCACGGCCAATACCGGGATTTGGCAATTTAAAAGATGTTCTGCTCGGAAGAATAACATTGGGTAGTTATTTAATGAAATTGTGCAATGACTACAAAAACGAACCACTAATTGGAATATTCACTGTAAGGACACCCATTCTTGTCGTAAAAGACCCAGATTTAATTAAGGATATTTTTATCAAAGATTTTCCTACGTTCGCCGACAGAGGATTCACCACTCACGAGAAGGTGTGAACACTTTAGTTATTTTATTCGAAGTCTAAATAATTTCACACGCTTTTTGGAAAAATTTTAATAGATTGCTCTTACTTCCAAAATAATACAAGTTAAAAGATTTATACTTGTTTTCAATGTAGATTAAAATTAATATACATTGATGGAAATGAATAAGTCGGTATAGGTATTGCTTCTTAATATTTATTGTACTCACATTATGTGGTCCTAATAAATCCTCTTTATTAAAAGATTAAATTTCCTAGAAAAGGGTGAAAACTATTTTTCAACTTGATAGAAAAGTATTAATAATTATTAAATAATATCAGCAAAGAGGACGTATTCTTAACATGATCAAATATCATCATTAATCATTTTCATTTCATATAACCCTTAAAACTACACTCTTTTTTAATTGTGACAATTTTTTATGAAATCAAATTAGTTTATTCTTTATGATATTAATAAGGATCATAATACATAAAAAAAACTTAAGCAGTAAAGAAATCAATATGCTGAATTTGTTACTATTACATAATTTTTAGTCTCTACTGTGATTGGCCACATTTCGTTTACATTTTACTATTTCAATTTTTGTTATGGCTTTAAGACAATGTTTACTTACACAATTCATTCACATAATAACTCGAGAATCACGTTTGATAATTGTGAAGCTTTTTAAGTAAAGAAGCAACCTCTTTATACTCTTCCATTGATGAAACTTATTAAAAATCGCGATGTTTGTTTCAGAAAGTCTCAAATGAGTTTCTGTAACTTGATAGAACCTAATTTTGAGCTACTTTAATGGATTATAATTTTTTTCGTTATATTGCAGGCCGAGCCGCTGTCGCAACATCTTTTCAATTTAGAACCAAAGAGATGGCGACCCGTAAGGACGAAACTGTCACCAATTTTTACATCCCATAAACTGAAGGAAATGTTTTCTTTGATATCAGAATGCTCTGACCATCTTGTAGAGTACGTAGAAAAATTGGTAAACAAAAACGAGGCTATAGAGTGTCTTGAAATAATGGCGAAATACACGACCGATGTTATCGGTAGCTGCGCTTTCGGTATCGAGATGAATGCTCTATCAAACGAGAATAGCGAATTTCGCAGGATAGGAAGAGATATATTCCATCCGTCTTGGTCAGAACTCTTACGAAAAAAAATCAAAATTTTTTCTCCGTGGTTATACGACATTCTTGGTCACATCTTGCCGGACACGGAAATCACCAACTTCTTCATGCGTCTTGTCATTGATAGTATGAATTACAGAGAAGAGAACAATATCATCAGACATGATTTCATTGATATATTGCGCGACTTGAAAAAGTATTCGGATAAGACGGGTGATATTGGTAAATATTGTCTACCTTCATTTAGGCAATTATAGTATATAAATTTGCGCATCCAACCGTGTAATCCAAGAAATCACTACAATTCTATTAAGCAAAATATTAAATTTTATATTATGAATAATATGATGATTAATTATTATAAATTCTTGTAATGTTATAACATAACTTTAAAATATAATTCTGTAATTACAATAAAGAAGATCCAGATATCTAATTTAATACTGAAAGATGTACTCAGATAACTGATCAATTTAAATTTGAAAAATATTTCTTAAATATTTAATATTTAATTTTTTTTTTTTTAAACATTTCTTTATAAATTAGTATAATTTGTTTGAAAAAAACTAAAAAAAATTGAAAAATATAAGAGAAAATGAGCGTACTGTGAGATAGTTTTTAAAGTTGAAAATAATGAATAAAATTAATGGAATTTCCAATACTTCATAAAGAATTATTTATAAACAGGTAAAGGGGGTAATTCATATTTCACAGATTTTACCGACACTCTGATAGTTGCTCAAGCATTCGTGTTTTTTGCTGCTGGTTATGAAACCTCATCAACAGCGATGGCTAATACGCTTTACGAGTTGGCTCTAAATCCGAAAATACAAGAAAGGCTACGTGAAGAAATTAACGAGGAATATACGAAACATGGTGACAATTTAACATATGACAACATCAAAAAAATGAATTACTTGGATAAGGTTTTCAAAGGTACGATGTTCGGAAATATAATAAGTTAATCGAATCGAAGAATAAAGATATGACATACTATATACAATTAGGATTGGAAATGTTATTTTATAAAAAAAATACAAGTTACTCTATTACCGTACTTTTATTAATATATAAATATACTTAAATGTTTAAATTTCTATTTAAATAAAATACTTCTAACTAATAAAAAATAATAATATTTGTGTGTAATGACAATAAGAAGGGCTACGATATCCAAAACAATTTAGTTTAATAAAACAATAGATTATTTACATACACACAAATGTTTCGAAAATACAAGTTTCAAAAATATCTTGTAAAGTGTACGCGCGAATATATAAAGTAGGTTATCCCCAAGTGATTATTTTACACTATTACGAAAAATATAATAAACATAGGGTGGACAAACGAAAATAACGGGTGGACAAACGTGGACAAACAGTGGACAAACGAATGCAATAATGATTTTACCAATATTCGCATTTAGGGGTGCCAACTTCACAAAGCAGCTCTGTAAAGTTGGAATCTGTAAATGCAAATATTGGAAATATCATTATTACATTCGTTTGTCCACGTTTGTCCAACCGTTATTTTCATTTGTCCACCCTCCAAAAAAAAGTTATGCACAAAAAAAAATTGTAACACCCCCAAGTGGTAATTTTACACTATTACGAAAAATATAATAAACATAGGGTGGACAAACGAAAATAATGGGTGGACAAACGTGGACAAACAGTGGACAAACGAATGCAATAATGATTTTAACAATATTCGCATTTAGGGGTGCCAACTTCACAAAGCAGCTCTGTAAAGTTGGAATCTGTAAATGCGAATATTGGTAATATCATTATTACATTCGTTTGTCCACTGTTTGTCCACGTTTGTCCACCCGTTATTTTCATTTGTCCACCCTCCAAAAAAAAGTTATACTCAAAAAAAGATTATAACATCCCCCAAGTGATTATTTTTCGAGTTCGTATCGATTGTTGAGAATTCATTTTACTAAATTAATGATTTTTTCGAAGAAATACGAATGAATAATATCAAAAAAAACGAAGAACAACTTAATAAGATTGAAAAAAGACGAAAATCATCATTTTCATGACTATTTCAAGAAGCGGGGAAAAATAAAAAAATAAAAAAAATACGAAAATCAATAATTTAAAATGAAGACAGTTAATTAAAACTAACAGAAAAAAAGGAAAAAACAAATAATAATCTCATAAATTAGATAAATCCGGAAAAAAATTTTAAGGATGTAGAAATGCTTAAATTTTTTAAAAAATTAAGTAAAGAAAGAACCTACGTTGTAATTTTAGGGGGATTAACAAACCAGTTTGGTCTTTTCCAGATTTGTTTGTGTATCTCCAATAATTCTGAATCGCGCGCGTAGCGCGCGTAAGAAAAGGCTAGTAAAAATAAAAAGTAACTAAAGCAACAATAAAAATAACGGCTAAATTACGTTATTGCTATAGTAAAAATATAAAAAGTAACTAAGCAACAATAAAAATAACGGCTAAATTACGTTATTGCTACAGTAAAAATATAACGAGTTTATTGCTAAGATAAAAATTCTATTGAAATATCTGCAATGTTTCTGTAATCTTTCTGTGCTGTATATGTAGGTACATTTCTTAAAATTATATTTTACCTAAAAAGATGTGCAATAATTGAAATGTATTATTTTAATAAGCGAAAACTATATAAAATTGTATTACTGAACGCACAAAAAGTATAATCAAGAAATTTAGCTCCTAAGATCATGAATATGCTGGTTATTATTGAGTTTTTTTTTATATTAGGACATAAAAATGTATTCTTGGATAATATATTACTAATTAATATTTATTTTTAAATAAAGTTTTTTTATAAAAAATCTACAAACAAATACTTATTGCATTCATTATATATCAATTATAACATAATCTTATCACTATAGTAAAACTAACTCTGATTTTTTAATTCATATACGTGCATTTTCGTAACTTTTTAATGTTTAATATTATTTTTATTTTAGAAATTTTACGAAAACACCCACCTGTACTGTTTCTCATGAGAAAATCAATGTCGAATTATACTTTCAATAGTGTTAAAGCTAACATACCAAAAGGCCAAAACATATGGATTCCTATTTTTGCGCTTCAACATGATCCGCGTGTTTATCCTGAGCCAGATATCTTCAATCCAGAAAGATTTAATGAAGAGGCTATGCAGAATAGGCACTCAATGTTCTTCCTGTCTTTCGGTAGTGGGCCAAGAAATTGCATTGGTATAGTGAAATAATTAAATTTAAATATATAACCTTCTGTTTCTTTACGCTTTCAATCGAAACATTTTTTATTTGGCAATTTTAATTTTATTTATTCTACATAGCAGATCTCCGAGGGATGTCCGAAAGATATCCTGAAGACGTCTTTTATCCTAAGAATGTCCTCATTTCTTGTCTAAGATATGAGATGTGATAATTTCTTTTATTTTCAGGTGCTCGATTTGCTATTTATCAAGTTAAACTGGGACTTATAAAAATGCTACGAAACTATAAAGTCGAACCATGCGAGAAAACGGAAATACCTTACGTCCGCAATGAGGAAACATTTATATTATCACCAAAAAATGGAATACACTTGAGAATAATTAAAATAAATCAAACTTAAGTTCTTCTTTAATTTTCCTTAAAAAAAAAAAAACATAGTATATGAAAAATAGTGAAAAAAACTTATCAAAAATTGTATAAAATAAAATATAAATATAAATTATAATAGAAGCCACTACTCCAACTACAATATAATATTTGTTAATTTTATTATTGTATAACAAAACTTACATCGCGATATTAGTCTATCAGTAATTAGAGATTATTTAGATTTGTTCAGATTTAATTTATATATACATGCGTAAATTAGTGCAGAATCCTTTTAACTCTAGTATTTAAATTTTTTATACTTTTAAAAACAGCATTTTATTCGCGCATTAATTATAAGACACTGATTATAAAACCCCATTCTCAAATTTTTGTTTGGCATTAAATGCATTTGCTTTCTCATATGTTTTGCTTTTATTTTTTTTACAAAATTAATAGTACTTTTGGACGGCTTTTTATATATATTTACTATCTACATATTTACTACCGTTTTGCTATCTATTAGATTTTTTCTTAATCCTTTTTTCAATTATGATAGGTGAATCAATAAATCATCCTAAAAAATTGAGGTATATATTGATTCTCCCACATACTTATGTCATATAATATTATCGCATAATTACATAGTCATTTTCTTTTGAATTTTCCGAACCATCAGACTTACGCATATTGTCTCTCAATTGTGGTGACATCGGAACGTAACTAGAATAATCTGTAAGAGTAATTCTTTGCAAACATTTTGTATTTTGTAGCCTTGATTTAAAAGAACCGGAAATTTCTTGATGAGAATACCGTTCTGTATCCATCCTGTTTTAACAAAAATTGAATCACATTTTTACATTGTTCTAATTTTATATTTCATATTTTTCTCAGGAGATAATTGGAACTAAACAAAATATTATAATCGTACCTATCTTCTTCTACGTATTCTGGTCTATGCTTCTGTCGTGGTGGTAATGCTGGAGGTTCCATTTGCAAATTGCACGAAATTTTATCTGTATCCTTATATTTATTGGAAGTAAATGATATTTTTGGAGAACAAATATCATCCACAATTTCTTCATAAATTCCAGAAGCAATAGAAGTATTGGATGTTCTCTGGTTACAGGAATAAAATTTTTCACCGTACATCAGATTAGGTTCTGAATGGTATGCATTTTCCACAACTTTAGTGCTGATCGATGTTCTTAAACTGTTTTTAACATATTTTTCAAATTTAAATACTTTAATACTTTTACTTAATTTCCTATATATAGAATGACAAAAAATTTTGGTCACAAAGTTTTGTGTGTTTATTAAATCATTACCCAGACAACAATTGACGGTATTTGTCACCATTTTGACATCAAACTTGACATTCAAAACATCATTTTGTCATTAAAATAATATCAATTGCTGCCTAGATAGTATAATATATATCTAAATATCAAAGATTCTGCATCAAAATCAAAAATTGATTCTGCATCAATATTACTGCTCGATTTAGACCGAATTTCTTTATACATTTATTAAATTTGATAAACATAAAACTTTGTGACTACTTTAGTTATCATCTTGCACAATGATACACACCAATTAGTATCTGTATCGAGTATACAAGATGTATCACTCTTTAACTGTGAAGAAAGACTATTGATTTCATTGTGTTTTTTCATTTCAAGATTCTCGTCATCAGAATGTAAAGATTTTTGTCTGTGTTTTGGACCACGACCCTGTGTTACCAAGTCTTGCAGCAATTTATTAGCGTCAAGACAGAATATATAGAGTTCTCCAATGCCACAGCAAAACTCTTTGCTGGTATGTATTACACAAATACGTTTTACATCTTCTGGACGACCTGCTGTCATTAAATGGAATTGACTGAATTCCTTCCATTTGAAAGTTTTGGTTATCTCGCCTGTGTGAACATTTCTAATAAAAATTCCCATTTGGTTGGCGACCAGATCTCCATATAAACCTGTCAAAAAATGAAAAGATAAAAAAAATGGCTTCAAGAACATATATATTTAGATGAAACATGTAAATATTTTTTCCTATGAAAAAACGTAAAGTTAGTACATATTGTCAGAGAAAATATCTGACAAAAGCCACTTTTATATATTTTCCTTTTTTTCTTCCTTGTTAATTTAAAAAAGAAGGATATGTACATATAGTTCTCTTTTTTCAATTAATACTAGTTATTTAGAAGAATTAGAAGAAAAAAGATCATACATAATGACAGAAAGAAGTATATGTAATTAATTGTTCTTTGCTGCATAACTTTTTTATCAATGAGTTAGTTTCATCAAAAGTTAAATGTTTGGTTTAATTATATATTAGTAATTCTCAGCAAGAAACAGTGTAAAAAAAAGTGATCATTTCATATTTGTATATCATTACAAAAAAGGATGTAAATTGTGTTGGATTATGCTATAATGTTTCTTATTGGAAAATACTCTTTGGCCTGGTTTCACCAATATAAGATCAACTTTAATATTTTAATTCAATTTATTCTTTATGTTTTTCTAATTCTTAAAATTAAAGAATAAATTAACTAAGATTAATATCTAAATTTTAAGTAGAATCATAATTGTAACATTTTCTTGTCAGATTTATAAAACTTTTAAGTGCTTATATTTTTATACAATATCTTTATAGACAGCTTCTTACTAGCCATAAGATTTATAAAAACTCATAAATATTTACTAACATTTGTACGTCTTATGATACAAATGCATAAAATTAGAACACTAGTCATAAAATTTTTACAAGTTTTATGAGAAGTTTTAAAGCCCATTCTACAATGAGCAATAGCAGTAGTGGATTAAGAAGTAAGCATAGAAATCAACAAATCATAGTCGAATATGAAGAGGATAATTAACTATAATTAGTCGATTCTTACGCCTACTCCTTAATCCATTACTGCTATTGCCCATTGTAGACAATGCATTACAATTCTGCCTAGAATTGACTCATAAAGTTAATCTTACATTGGTAAAACTGAGACTAGGTATACCATTGACTAGCTCCAAATCATAATTATACCAACCAATTAAACCTGCTGCCTTCGAATGTGCGTTATCAACCATGGATACATCGTACGATCTTTCAATGCAATAGTGCCTTCTGGGTTTCAACAAGTATCTGATATTTGCCATCCAACGCTGTGTCTCAGTTTCCGAATTAGCGGACAATGATAATAGAGGCTTCCTATCCGCTGCCAATGATATACTAAACGCGAATTGCTTCGTTCTGGATCGAATACGATGTACAATAGCACTCGGTGGTATCACTACTGAGCTGTCCTTCTCGTTTTGCTTCAAAGCATTGTCGTGACAGCTGAGTTTCTGATCAAACTGCACTTGTAAGCCGAGACCGGATCCCAACATTTTCACCGAGCACCATAGGCGTTTCCATACCTTCGACAGGGCTAAAGCCCTCTTCCTCACCCTTTGTGCGACGTATCTTTTCCCCGTAGATTTAATGTAGAGAAATCCGCAAATTTCCATGTCGTGCATACTCATTCTCTAAAGAGGCACGTCAAATTGGAATAGGGGAAGCCTCGAACACACGTTCGTAACGTTGAAGAAGAGGGTAATGTTACAATATCAAGACCCTCAAAATAGTTTGATAAAAATACTCCGTACCGAAGCGTTTTCACGTAAAAATAAAGATTTGACAAGAAAGAAATGTCGCTCTGTTTTGTAAATCGAAATATTTCAAGTTAAATTTCACAATTAACTTCAGAGGTTAGAAAACCTGTCAGAACTCAGATGCAAAATTAGAGATAGAAAACTATCGATAGCGACTATCGATAACCTCGATAGTCTAATCTTAAAGCGGGGAGCACAGACTTTTGCATAACGCATAAAGCATGTGCATAAGGAATTTCATTGGTCCATTTTCTTATGCATGAGTCAGTGGACCAATCAAATTCTTTATGTATATGGTTTATGCGTTATGCAAAAGTCTGTGCTCCCCGCTTTAGAGTTTTCTCTTGGCTGCACCAGTGTAGGGTGATTGCACCAGTTCATCTTTTTTCCTTTTCCCTTCTCCGAAAAGGAAGAAAGATGAACTAGTACAAAAGTTCAGCTGAGTGTTGCACTGGTGCAGCCAAGAGAAAACGCTATTAATTTGTGTATTCAACGAAAAATAGAGAGAGATATATATATAGAGATATATTATAGAGATATATTTATTTCATATACATTTTATATATATGTCATATATTTATTTTAAAAAATAATTTTTTTTAAAATTAATATAATTTAACGGGCAACGGAGCCAAAATAAAAATAATACAGTTGAAAAGAACAAAGACAATAATTTTTTCTATTAATTCTGTATACTCATATCAGTGATTTTATTTTTCCTCATTATACAATTGATATAAATACATATATTAAATATATACATAAATCGATAACGTATAAAATCCAATGGAATTTATTCAAGTTTTTGGCGGTTTTAGCAGAGAGGTTTTAGCCTACCTCTACAAAATAATTTAAAAATTTCCGATAATACTATCGATATATCGATATTTTATTTAAAAAAATATCGCATAATCGATAGTAACCACTATCGATAATTTTCCATCTCTAGATTTTATACAAAGTAGATACATAAATATAACCGCAGTGCATGTGAGTGCCATGTCGCATGCTCGCAGTATTTTGTGCTGACAGATTTCCTAATCTGAATAGTTCTCAATTTTAACTTAAAATATTTCGAATCACAGAGCAGAGTGACATAGAGTGATTCAGTATATTTTTATTTAAAAATTATTTATTTTTAAATTTGAGGTGGAAAATGATCTTCTTAACATTTACTGGAAATGTTACAAATCATTCAGACTAGAGCGTGACAAGGAATCGTCCTATATTTTTGAAATATAGTAATTAAACTGTATAACTACTATTATAATTTATTTTACTCAATATAACACATATAAAAATGCGTAATGTTATGTTGAATTCATTGTACATCGAGATTATCCGTGCCGTTCGCAATACGAGACTTTCCAAACCACCTCAAAGGTAATAAATATAAGAACTTTGATTTGTTATAAAAAAGCTTCAATTAACTAATTGAAATGTTCAGTCAATTCTATATCTTATTTTAGAGAGTGGACTTACTTGTTAAGCAGATATTTCTCCACACAAGCGACGACCGACACAGAGTACAATGTACCAGTTGAAGCTATTCGTAACTTTAGTATAGTTGCACACATTGACCATGGTAAAAGTACATTAGCGGACAGATTGCTGGAATTAACAGGTGCTATAAAGGCAAATTCTGGTAAGCAGGTCTTGGATAATCTGCAAGTGGAGAAAGAACGTGGGATTACAGTGAAAGCACAGACAGCGTCGCTGTTCTATTCATATCAAGGCAAAAGGTATCTTCTGAATCTTATCGACACACCAGGACATGTGGACTTTTCAGCAGAGGTTTATCGATCGCTGGCTCCTTGTCAAGGGTGTATACTACTGGTTGATGCTAATGATGGTGTTCAAGCACAAACAGTAGCCAATTATTATTTGGCGCGAGAAAACAATCTTGTGATAATACCAGTAATTAATAAAGTGGATTTGAAGAATGCTAATCCTGAGAAGGTTAAAGAGCAGTTACAAATGTTACTTGAATTAGATAATATAGACATTATCAAAATATCTGCCAAGCTAGGCACTGGTGTCAATAAACTTTTAGATGCTATAATTGAAAGAATTCCACCACCTACGGTAGCTAGAGATAAGCCCTTTCGAGCACTGATATTTGATAGTTGGTATGACAGGTATAAAGGAACGATTTCTTTAATTTATGTGAAAGACGGATCATTGTCAGTCGGCAAACAAATTAGTTCTACATATATGAAAAAATCATATGAAGTTCGAGATATTTTTCTTCTTAGACCTTATACAGAAAATGTGAAGACAATGTGAGTGAGTATGACTCTTATTTTATTATATAAAATGATTATACTTTTTCTAAATTAAATAAAATAGATGCTGAATGTTTATTGATAGATGGGAGAAAATTTAAAGTAATTCTAGATAATAAAATAAAACAGAAATCAAAAATAACCAAATTGCAATTTTAGTTTGATTTTTTTAAATTATATATATAATAATAAATAATTTTAATTTGTACATATAATATAAGTAAATATACATATAAGTATATATACTTAATGTAAGCATATATATATACATATATATATGTGTGTGTGATAGAAATTTTCAATTTGTACTATTTGATGTAATCTAGATTTGCTGGACAAGTAGGCGCTATTTCGTGCAATATGAAGTCTAAAGAGGCTCACATTGGTGATACTTTGCATCTGCGCCATCAGTCTGTTGATTCCTTACAAAGATTCAAGCCACCAAAGCCAATGATGTTTGCAGGAGTATATCCAATAGATCAGTCACAATTGCCCTCTTTAGAAGCAGCTATTGACAAGCTTGCTCTAAATGACAGTGCTATAAGTACCACTTTAGAGTCAAGGTAAAAATAATATCATTTGTAAGCTTTATAATGTGTATGAAAATAATTTTCTAATATAAATGTCGTTGATAATATAAAATTCTGTCGTAAATGATTGTAAATTACGCGAATAATATTCGAACACGTTAATAAAATATAATGAAAAGAATTATATTACAGTGCTGCACTTGGAAGGGGATGGAGAATTGGCTTCTTAGGTTTATTACATATGGAAGTCTTTATTCAACGTCTTGAACAGGAATATGGGGCACAGCCAATAGTTACATCACCTGCAGTGACTTACAAAGCAAAAATTTTTGGCACTAAAAATATAACAAAATATCAAAGTGATACAGTGATCTTTAATAATCCAGTACATTTTCCAGATCCTCAAATTGTCACCGAATTTTATGAACCAATGATTATTGCGACTATCATTACGCCAGGTATTTATAATTTCACAGAGTTTAATTCAATTAGAATTAAATTTAAGGATATATTAGAAAAGGGAAACTAAGTATATTATTGGATACTTTGATCCGAAATTTGGCAACTTTTTTCATTTTTATTTTATTTAATATAGATTAAATGCTTTTTAAAATGTATAGATACATACATGAAAGAAATCATATCACTTTGTTGGGAAAAACGAGGCGTAGAAAAAATAAACAAGGCTATTGGCAGTGATAGATTTATGCTGCAATATGTGATGCCATTGAGCGAAGTAATTCTTGACTTTCATGATTCTTTGAAAAGCATAAGTTCTGGTTATGCTAGTTTTGATTACGAAGATTATGGCTATCAAGTGGCAGATATAGTGAAGGTAATTTTTAGATATCATTTATAAATTATTCTTGTGCAATGTTGAACTTTTTAATGGCACATGTATTTTGATATATAAATTTTAGTTGAATATTTTATTAAATGGAAAACTAGTAGAAGAATTATGCGCAATTGTACATAAAACAAAAGCATTTCTGATAGGCAAGAGATTATGTGTCAAGCTTGTTGAAACTATTCCTCGACAACTGTTTGAAATAGCAATCCAAGCAGCAGTAGGGAGTAAAGTGATTGCAAGAGAAACTGTGAAGCCCTATAAAAAAGATGTAACAGCGAAATTAGTAAGTAGATATTTTGTATACCATACATTTAAAAAACAAGAGTAGAAAACTTTTTAAATGTGGGATTATTTCATTAATTTTGTGTTCACTCTTTTTTTTTAGTACGGTGGTGATGTTACTAGAAGAAAAAAATTGTTGGCGCAGCAAGCAGAAGGAAAAAAGAAAATGAAGATGATAGGAAAAATTTCCTTACCACGTGACACTTTTATAAGCATACTAAAAAGATAACAGAGTTTTTGTATCTAATGTAATTATTACAAAATAATAAAACACAAGCACAGTATATACAATAGCGCAACTCTCTTGATTTTATGATCTTGCCTAGCACGATCGGCCAAGTTTACCTCATCAATAGGGCCATTAATATTCAAAGAAGAAGAAGAATTATTGTGATTTGAGTCTTGTGTGGTCTTGTAATTCTCAAAAGTATAAACTACAAGACTGTTATATATTACATAAAATAAATTTTTTTTTCTGCATAAATATACTACTTTATTTATTCCCTATTGCTATTTATTTTTTGCTAAGAATTTTAAAGTATTAATTTTATTATTTGTATTTAAATTTAATTGTTAAAGTTTTTTAATCTTGTAATATTTTTTATAAAGTTTATATATTTTTTTTACAACGTATTTTATTATTATTTTAATATTATTTTACATTTACAACATTTTTTACATAAAAGTTATTATAGAAAATATTTAATAATGTTAACATAAGTTAAATAATAATAAAAATAAAAATTGTAATTTCTTCTACTCTAATTTTTACGAATTTATTAATTTTTACAAATTTGGATTTAAAGAAATTTGCGGGAATGGATGATAAATGTCGGACCAATCAAAAACCGGGAAGAAGGTGACCAGACTCTTATTAGAGGGCACGTGTAGAGGGTCTCTAAAATATATACCACGTTATCGACCTTCATAGACATCTTCCACTATGGTCAACTATGGTGTATGTTGACTGTTCATTTTATATGACCGTATGGTCGTTTTCCCATTTTCTATCATACAAATTTAGTTACATTAAATCACATTAAATGTGATTAAATGGATATATTTGAATAAGCTATTGAATATTCGTGTCAAATTTGGTGTAATTAAATGTACAGACATACGAGGTTATAGCTACGAAACTATGATTAAAAAACTATAAAATCGAAAGAAGTGTTGATTCGCAACAGTTTTCAAATCATGCTGGGTATTGTTTGGCGTCGTTAGAACAAAGTTGAATACTGGTTTGTGTACTCTTGATTTAAAGTACTGATGATCTAGTAGATGCTATGAACTGAATTTTAAAAAAATTAGATAACAGGATAATGTAATAATTATAATCTTTATTGGTTAGTTTATTGGTTTAAAGCTACTTGAAACTCGATTTACATTAAATTCTTTAATTCATATTCTTATTCTTCTTTTCTTTCGCTTTTCTTGTCTTCCTAATTTCTCATCCAATCACTGCTTCCTTTCTTTTTTTTCCCTAAATTCTCTCCTTAATCTATTTTCTATATGCATATTTATATGTTCTATCAAAACTTTTCTGCCTTGAGTAATTCGAGTCTACAATAAGTCAGTAGTCTGTAGTTGACGAGTTGGAAGTGACTGTAGAGTGTAGTTAGTGAATCAAGATTGATTAAAATTAGTAAATTGATAAAGTTGACCAGCAGTCAACTTCTACTATCGGCTCATTGCAGACTCGAAAAAAGTCTGTATTATTGATCTGGATCAAGTTTAGCTGTTGCTCCAGCATTTCCTTAAAAACTGTTTTACATAAAGTATTTATTGTTAAAGTTGATTATGCTATTGCATATTTTGATAGACAATGCTCAAGATGTCTCTCAATAATTTCTACAAAAGGTTTTGTCTATTTTATTACTATAGAATGATATATATTCATATATGATAAAACTGTACAATTATATTTTGTGCAGAGATATTAAATCTTTTTCTGTATTTTGTTTTCTTTTGTATATAAAATATTATAAACATACATTTTTGTAACCAAATATCTACTAAATAAATTAATTTTTAAGGTTAAAATGTACACTTAATGTAAAGTATGTTGTTTATATGTATATTATTTATCTATATGTATATTGTAATAATACAATTTTTGTCATTTATAGAAGAAACATCTATAAGTATATATACATCACATTAAGATACTTTCTGTTAAAAACAATATCAAAATGGCACCAGTACCTTTAGAGGGTCATCAAACTCCTGTCACAAATAACATACCGCAAGAAGGCAATCGTGGTGGATCAATATCCTTAGGAATGCTTATAGATTTTATTATACAACGAACATATCATGAGCTCACTGTTCTTGCTGAATTGTACGTACAAAATAAGAAAATATTGACAGGTATGCTTCAATAGTTTCCGATACTGTGGTCTATTCTGCATCTCTTTATTTAGGCTCCCTCGTAAAACGGATATGGAACGCAAAATTGAAATTTATAATTTTTCTGCTCGAACAAGGCAATTGTATGTCCGTTTATTGGCACTAGTAAAATGGGCGAATAGTGCATCTAAAGTGGATAAATCTACAGTACAATATACATTTTTACACATTTTGTAATCACGTAATTAAAACATATAGTCTAATAATTTGCTCTTTTCAGCACATAATGGCGTTTTTAGATAAGCAATCATTGCTTTTTGTTGATACCGCGGATATGCTGGCAAGGATGGCTCGTGATACTTTGGTACACGCTAGACTTCCAAATTTCCATATTCCTGCAGCTGTAGAAGTACTTACCACTGGAACATATGGTAGATTACCAGCTTGTATTCGAGTAAGTATGCACAAAAAAAAATTATATAGTGTATTATATTATTAGTGTATTATTTATATAGTGTATTATTAAAAAATTGATTTGAGAAATTATTGCGTTTGTATAGGAGAGAATAGTGCCTCCAGATCCTATCACTCCTACAGAAAAGAGAAGTACGTTGCAGAGATTGAATCAAGTCATTCAACATAGATTAGTCACTGGGAACTTGTTGCCACAGATGCGTAATTTGAAGGTAATTATATATAAAACATGCAGAAATATAAAAATTCCGTTAAAAGATACATTATAATTATTTTGTAGTAGAAAAGAGTTATGTGTAATTATTTTAAGTTTCATTTATTATTGACATATAGATTGAGGCAGGAAGAGTGACTTTTCTTATCGATCAAGAGTTTTCAGTATCTCTTACGGTTATGGGTGATGGACCAACAGTTCCATGGAGACTGTTAGAATTAGAAATTTTGGTCTCGGATAGAGAGACTGGAGATGGAAAAGCATTGGTACATCCTTTGCAAACTCGATATGTACATCAAGTATGTTTATCAAAAAAATTAAATTAATAAATTATATTTTCAGATGTTTAACAGATGTTAATTATTTTCTATAACAGGTTGTTCAATCGCGATTGGCTGAAAGTATTAACCCATTATCAGAGGTGTATCATATCCTACATTACTTTTGTCAATCATTACAATTAGAAGTTTTGTATTCTCAAACGTTAAGATTGATTCGTGACAGATTGGACGATCATATTCATGTAGACGAATACACACCTGGCAAATGTCTTTCTATATCTTATTGGAGGTAAGAATGATAATATCGCTCATTACAACAATAACGTAATTAAAAAATTGTCATTCTTTACTTGTGGAAAAAATGGAAAGAAACATTTTAAAGTAACATAATTTCATTCCTTTACAATTATTACATCAAAACTGTATTTTTGAACTAAATTCGTATTATATTAAGCAGTATGTAATATGAAGGTCAGTAAGCGAGTCAAAAGAAAGTTTAAATTTTAATTTTTGAGATGTATATCATATAATATAATAAACGTTTCGGACCATGGGTCTTTCTTCAGCTTGTATAAAAAAAAACAACGAATGCAATTTTAACATTTCGAAGAATTGGAACATTAAAAATGTGTGGGACTGAAATTTATTTTTGCATGCAGGGGTTGATACAGAGCATTTCAATATGTTCATCACCATCTGATGAAACATTATTACAATTTCAATTCGGCATAATTTCAATGTTCCAATTATTCGAATTGTTAAAATTGCATTTGTTGTGTTTCTTTTTTACAAGCTGAAAAAGGACTCGTAGCCCTTTTTCTCAAGAATTCAAATTTAATTTTAATTTTCTTTTGGCTTGCTTACTGACCTTTATATTACATATTGTTTATATTTTTAAATTAATATATTACAAAATTTTAATGATCAAGAACATAGAAACATATTTTTTGAAAAATTATTTTTTTTATTTATGTTGTACATAAGTGATACATATAAGTATTTAAAAAGAATTTTTATATACGCATAAGATTTATATTCATATGAGGTCTTTTTAGGGAATTAACGAGAAAGGATCCACGATCAGAACTTGGATATAGATTAACCGTTCAAGTAGATCAACACGATCCTGCGAGGCCTCTCGCAGTTGTGCACATTCCATCATTAGGCAGTAAGGTAAAGTAGTATACTTATATTTTTCAAACATGACATTATAACATGATAATATGTTATGCAGGAAAACGAGATAGCGCACAGAGCCATTAGGTCGGATCAATTATCGATGGAATGTTTACTCGTGCACACGATCTATATCCGAACCCGAAGTCGCTTGTCCGAATTGAAACAAGAGCTGCAAACAATGCTGAAAGACGTTGAGTGTAAGTTAAGAATATTTTTTTATCTCTTGTTTTTTGTATTTGAGAATGAAAAGATATTAATTTAAATAATATCTTAGGTACCTTAGCGGGATCTCCAGCTATTTTATCAGTACCTATATTACAACCATGTTTACGTGCTGAGCTGCTGTTGGTTACAGTTGACACTCATACTGGTATGCTACAATGTCATGTCCCTCAATATGACGCACCACTTGTTCCGGAATTAACAATAGCTTTAAATGGGGATCATTCACGTCTTCCGACACTTATATCTGAATTGAGGTATTAATTGTTGTAATACTTTATAATATTCCCTTGACTCATTTTAGCATCTTTGGATTAAAATTGGTTGTTTTGCTAGATTTTGGATAACACAGAGACGTTGTGAGAAAACATTGCAACATCTACCAGCTACCTCGCATGAACGTTTGCCCGTTTTGCATCATCCAGATCATCCTATGTCTAAGATTAGTCGGCATCGGATGTTCGTTCAATTGCACCGACATCCTACAGTCATACTGGTATTTTTTTTATTAATTTCATATATAATAATAATATAGAATACATATTATTTTAGTTTGTTACACACACACACACACACACACACACACACACACACACACACA